TCGTGCGCGCACGTATTTTCGCATAATAATGAAAGGCGCTTTGGGACGACACTGTGGTTGCACGATCAGCTCTAAAAATTGTAAAACTTTTTATTCTTGTAATGTGAAAGTTTTCCCTTTGTTTTTTATACACTTTCATAGCTCCCTTTATCTGAGAAAACGTAACAAAAACGTAGGCAAGTCGTACGCTAAATAATTGAATGAAAGTAGAAATCCAATTTACCAGGTATTTTTAGTATTACTAGTACACAAAGTTAATGCACGATCTAGACCTTCAGACCTTAATTAGAAGATAAAACTGTATAACATGAGCAATCGTAAGTATCATCATTATTATTGCAAAAGGCGGAAGAATTCAATCGTTCGACATTCTAAATCGGATGGTTTAAAGAGGTATAGGAGAGAACTTCATCCTTCATAACGTCATCACTTGCAGACATCAAATCGTCAGTGGTAATGAAGATGGTCGGAGTGTGTAGAGAACTGACCCGAATTAGAATCAATCTTGATTCTAATTCGGGTGAGTTCTCTGCACAATATACATAGAATACATTCAGAATTGGAAGATCGTGTTTATGAGTAATAAAATTATTTGTTTATTTAAACTTTCACAATTTTCACACATTTGAATTTAATATCGGGACTTAACAACTTAACACGTACAAATATGTTTTATTTATTTCGACGTTTCGGACGTGTCGCAAAGTCCATGGTTTCGAAGAGAATGAGAAAGCAACTGTCAAAATCTTCTAGCCCTGCTAGTATTCTACCTGCCGGCATTTGGTTTGTAAGCTACATCTTCATCTTGGTGTTGGTAATGTAAACGACATCAAGTATCGCCCGACTAGTTGCCTGATATCATCAGTATTGCGTGTCGATCTAGTGACAACCCTAGTGCACAAATAAATAATGAGGACCAACAGCTTGCTTTTGATTGCCTCTCCCGGTCGGAAACTGCGTCTCTTCCGAGTCGAGGCGCATAATTGCGAATCACAACTGGCCGATCGGAAACTTTGACATTTCAAATCGAAACAATAGTTGATTTAACTCACAAATTAGAAAGATATAGTAGGAATCAGGTTTATCTTCTCGCTCGGAAATCCACCTGATTTCGAGACTACCCGATCGGATCGATTCCGATTTGAATCAAAAGTGTGGATACTTAGAAAAAGTAGCACAGCTAGAAGATGTTGACGCTCGTCCCTTCAATACCTTCGAGACCATGAACGTTGCAACACGTCCGAAACGTCAAATGTCCCGATATTAAATTTAAATAAAATACAAGTGCTTCAAGTAAGATGAGTATTAAAAGAAACGAAATAATTTCGACGAACATGATGCGAAACTTGGATAAAGTACTAAAACCAAATTATAATTGAAGTCATTCTACAAAAAGCTCATAGTTAAGTTTTAATCATAATAGCTTCGTCCCAAATCATTGAACTGCGACGTCCATTAATATAAACCAAGAAATAAGAAAAATTCATTTACATGCATTGACTTGCAAATAAATGGACGACGGGTCTAATACAAAAACCACGAAAAAAATGTCCCAAGTCAACCTATTTAAACGTAGTGACATGTAAAGGAATATGAAAAAGCTAAAACGTTGAATTTAAATTGTAATGTCATCGCAGTACTGTCTAATTTTGCTTGCTTTGCTGTGAACACAAACGAAGACTAAAGCGTGAATGACGCTCTGTATACGATTTTAACGCCCTATAAGTTCGGACACTTTTTAGCGCGGACCCGACGTCCATGTAATTGTAAGCCAATGTTTGCATGCTATTCATTTTTAAGTTCTTTTTTATACCAACTCAATTTATTCACAATAACGAAAACAAACATTGTAAAATAAAAATGAGCAGAAATTTAAACATAAACTTTAGTTTTTTCTAATAAATTCAGATTTTGTTCAGACTTCATCGATAGACAAAAAACAAGAAGATTATGCTAAAATTAATCTATTGACTAGTACACAAAATGTACAATTAATCATATTCAATTGAGAAAGCACAAGTGACTTAGGTGACCTGGGGATTTTCTGGAGCATGTCTTTGGAATGATGTACGTAATGAATCAATACGCGTACATCAATCAGGGTTGCCAGGCGTACGTGAATTTTTAATCGTATACGATGAACACATACGACAGCATCGTACATATATCCCAAAAAATACGAGATATTCCAATTTTTTTATTATGTCTAACACCCGCGCAGTATTTTTGACGATCTCGGTGGCGTGACGATTTGCACTGGACGTGGAATTCTTGGAGTCGATTGCCGGCGGGATCAATTTGAGAAATGAACTTGTTCTAAATTGAATGTTCTGTATTGCATCCCGGAGTGAATTCCGTTGCTGTGGTATTCGTAGTACAAGGAATTTCTTAATTTAAGACCAACCTAATCTGACACAGTATTATTACACAAAAAAAAGCTTAAAAACCAAGGAAATCAGCATCGTTTTAGGTTTCCTTAATAACAAAACGATGAACCAATAAATAAAATTAAGCATTTCTATACAAGAAACATACCACAGCAGTGCAGCGTAGAATATTAGCTCAGATATTCGGTAAGTAAATTAAAATTTTAAGCGAATCTTTCAAGTGGTACGCGATTCATGCAAGTTCTGTGCGAGAAGTTGCACCCATCTGCCAACTCTGATGTCGAGGTGGGATCATGTAACCCGTATTTTTTCTATGAAAATACGTAATAAATCGTTCGCGGAAGTACGGAGATTTGTTTCGTGTTTTTAGGGACACATATACTGAAAACCCGTATTGTCGCGCTAATACATTCGAAGATAAACATTTTATTAGTAGTTTACATAGTGACGGAAAAGTGATACGTTAGTATGCAAGATTTTTTTTTTTAATGTACTCCAGAATAATCCCTAAGTTCAGAACATCAAGCAGAAAATACGCTACTGAAATTACGTGCACGTAATTTTGATTCTCCAATTAAAATAAACCGTTTCTATGTCGAGATGTAGCAATTAAATGAAAACCACTTCTTTAAATTTTGCACTGGTCCATTAGCTTCCCCTAAATTTTCCATTCCTCCAGTTATTGTCATACCCTCCCCAGTCCTTAATGAACTCATCCAATCTGTTTAGAATAGTATAGAATGGAAACCATATATTGCAACGCCACAACATAAAAATACACAGAAAAAGATAATAAAAAAAGCGTTGCATTTTGCATCGGACTGATATTTACGCTAGCGTTGTCTTTTGCAATCGCAACGTGTTATCACCATTTAGAGTGATCTATTTAAATATGTTTATATATGTGTATTTAAATATGTTTTTGTACGAAACTAAAATCTGATGAATTATTAAGTCATGGAACAAAAGTTGTCGTTTATGTTGTTAGTAATATAGTCCAGGGAGGTGGACTTATCTACCTCTTACATGGCAGACCCCATTCTGTTTCCCATCTTCCGTATCAAACGACATTACGTGCACGTCTTTTCCGGTCAACTCACCATAAAAAGATCGTATAGTATTCACTTACACAACAAATTGTTCAAGTTTCACGTCAATACAATAAAATATACACTTAATTACATTAAAGTACTACTATTCCCAAATAGGAAGCCTCTTGATAAATCATACTAGTTTAATGAACAGACTATTTTAAAACTTCTAGCTATGTTTTTAAAATTCTTAAATTAAATTCTAACTTTAATTACACTAAATAAAACTAATCACTGACAAGTAAAACCGAGAACGTTATAGCATATAAGACACGCTTACAATTGGTAACTGTAAAGCTGGCTTCCCACATCCCGTGGTTTCGCGGGTCGCGCCGTGTAAGCATGCGCCAACTGGCCTGTCGGATCCGCCGCCGCGTATCGGTAACTTGTGACGACGGGTACGTGAAATCACGGGCCGTGTGAAGCTACCATTATAATTTTAAAATAAATAGACAATTTTATTATATTTATTCACAACGTAGGACTTCGTCCTTTATTACGTTTGTCTATTGGTTTTAGGCGCTGGCAATTGCAGAAAATCTTCATAAAAATTTAACTATGAAATAGTATATCTGTTATCGAGTTGTTAGGTTTTCGCGATTGTTACACATAGGAAATGAAACTATTTTTCCGGATTTAAATCGCGTATGTTTGTTTTTTCAAACAAACCAACGTTTCGGGCCCTTTACAGGTCCCATGGTCACGGTTGAGTCAACCGTCCTAGTCCGTTCCTAATGTACCTGTGTTCAAAATTAATTTTTAAGTTATAAATGTAAGACTACCGTGATTATTCACTAAATGATTATCAGTAATTACAGGTTTCTTGGAATCCCATGGAATCCGGTGCTAACAAAAATAATCATAGAATAAAAAATGTTTCGACTTCAGTTTCGCATGTGGATACAGGTGTATGGTTTCTCGGAAAGAAATGAGTAACACGACAAGTAATCGAAATAAAAGTAGTCGTGGATAGCGAAGAGATATCTCTGTTCTCAAAAAGCAGTCATCTGCTGCTGCTAGTCAACCTGTGACCATATAGAGTCTAACTTCCAAAATATCGAGAAAACAAAAAGAAATCATACTGGGATAAGAAACCTCTAAATAGTGTTAATCATTTAAATGACATCGCTCCTTAATATTAAAAGGAAAGTAACTAGCAAGGTAACTTAAAAAAATATTCGACGACCTCCGTGGCCGAGTGGCTTGCACACCGATTTACATGAAGCCATCTCTGAGGTACCGAGGTCGATCTCCGGTCGGGTCAATGTGGAATACTAAGTTTTCTATATTGGCTCAGGTTTTTTTTATAATAACGCACACACTCAACACAGCCCCGCACTAGGGAAACCCTGTGTCGCGGGTGCCATGGACACACACATAGACAACCACAAATTATAACCAAACTCACGAGACAAATAAATGTAGGTCATGCAAATATTTGTCCCGGCCCGGGAATCGAACCTGGGACCTCTGCGTGGCCATCCGGCATGGTAACCGATCGGCTACGGAGGCAGTTATCCGGCCACGGAGATTTGGGTGTTTGTGGTACACAAAAGCTTTAGTTACTTTGGGATCGGAACAACGTAATGTGACGTTGTCTAATATTTATTTATTAATTTACATTAAATAATTCTATAATAGCTGCCAGCGCCTTAGCAATTAGCTGCGTCATCTAGCTCCAGTATTGTAAATACGCAAGTAATATAGCGGGCTACTAAGGTATGTTGGAAAATGTGCCACGTTTTGTTCAAAAAGAAATGTTTAGAGATGATAAAACCTATTCATTTAATCAATTTCTACTATGGGAACTTTCACGCAACGAGTAAATAAAATCGACCCTTCCTACCTGCAACTAATTCTCAAAAGCTGCATGTACGTATTGGTACTTAAACCCCTTCTCCAGGAATTAAATTTCACAATGTACAGCTTGCCTATTACATAGCTAAACTGAAACTTGGACGACGCTTAATAACTAATATAAATAATTGCTTCTAGGAAAAATTGCATGAGGCTCCTTATAGTTGGGGTCAGGTTGATTGCGGTACCGTCGAGCCAGCCACAGAGCGAATAACTGAAAAACAAATATAGATTGCTGTAGAAATATGTCAAAAATATATTAACAGAAAGACAATATGTTGTGTTCATTCAACAAAAAATTTGAAAGTATATAATGTAATTTATTCGATGTTTAGAAGATAATTACTTCATGACACATATATCTTGAAACAATTATCAACACTAATTTGTAGTCTTGGTGCCGCAATAGAAAATTCGCTCTATCTTGATTAAATGTCAATAAATTTGGCAAAAAAATTATGTTTTGCTTCCGATGTGAATTCCATTCCATTAAAAAATGTAAATTACATTTTAGTATACTCTATGATGTTGTTTAGTATATCGAATATCTATTTCAACATTTATATATAACAATGTATAATTATAATGTCATTGTGACTGGCACATAGACCAAAATAGAATACATACGAATAGACCAAAATTATAATACTTATAATTAAAAAATTTTAAAATTAAGTTATACTTTTAGTTTTTATTATTATGTCGTTACAGTAATTATATTAATTATATTATAGTAATTATCTATTGCTGACTAATTCTCGTCTTCAAATTAGTGAGCTATAATGTAGTAAGGCAATGAACACAACCCATTATCTTTTAATAAAAATTCTCGTCACATAGATAGTCGTAACTGCATGCTATTTACACAATACAGGTGTCCACTAGTTAGTCTGCGTCAAATGTGTAACATTTCAAAGCCAGTGCATTCAAGACATGCTAAAAAAATTCTTTAAACCACAAATGCGACTGCATGCTCATAAATAGAATTTAATTACCGCAAAAAGTAAAAGGGTTAATCCAAGCCAATGTTAATTTCGACGAGGTAGGCTGACTTCTGCTTTCTATAAACATATTGTTTTGTGCACTTCTTAATAGTCTTTGAAACAGTTTTAATGAATGACATGTAATATGTTTTAGTTTTAAAGAATTTACTGGGTACGAGGTGGGGACATTACAAGGTCCAAAATTTTCGTATGCTTCGTCTTTATTGATATTTTTCATTATTATAAGTTTTTTTGTTCAATTTGGATTACACAGATATTTGAGTATAACTTTCAATAGCAATCTGAGATACCATAAGAATGGAGAGTACTTACAACTTCAAAATATTTATTTTTTTAATTTTCATGGTGAAATTGCTTTCCTTTCACTTTTTATAGGTGAGAGAAAATAATTAAATGGTCAAATGAAAATATGTATGAAAAAAAAAGTGTTAACTCAAATTAATACACTACACGATTACGAAGCGGTAACATCAGATTTTTCTTTATGGGAAATTAATTGAAGTGTGCAACGCCACGACATGTAAGGCTGTGGCTACATTTTTTTACATTACCCGGTAATTCGACATAGTAAGTGTCTTTAACTATTATCATAATATAATAAAACAAGTAGGATAACCCCATACAAACATAGCAGCGCGGCATAGACGTGTGCACGGCCGCCGTAAGCCCTGTACGGAATCGTATAATCTCGCGCTGCACTCGAGCTGCACTGCGCGAGTCATACGCGTCTTTGATTATAGAATTAAAGCATTCGCTCGGTATTTAAAATAATTTACTATGTCATAATGATATTTTTTTTTAATTGTAATTATATATAATTTGTTTTTATTTATATATGTATAGTTATGTGTATATTAACTTGCATTTCATGATTATACACCCAAAATTATAACCCGCGACAAACATCAACATGTAAATGCCGCATTTGACAAAGGTTATTTACCCTATAGCATGAGAATATTGGAGAATACCTTATTTTTCCCTAATTATGTTTACAACGCGTAGCTGCTACTAAAATAACATTTGACAACCCTACGTTGCGAAGGACGTGTAGGCATTGGACGCGCCGAACAGAGGAGTGACACTACTCGTCTTAAATATACTATGCTATTATTTTGAACCACAGCATCCTCACTCACTTCATGTCAAAGACACAAACTGCAGCCTGAAGTATAATTGTCAGCCATGCATAAACATCAATGTAGCACCAGCGTAAAGCTCGTATTATAATCAACGTTTAGGCCACTAGATAGTTGTGCAGCCTTTTCATACACATATTAAAGTATAACATGTGGAAAAGAGAAAACATTCGTCACAGGTTGACTATAATACCAGTCAAAGGGGGTCACTACACTTTTTTCCAATCAGTTGTATCTCCTGCTAGCAACAAATTCAATTTAAATTTTCTTACCTTCCCGACAGATAAGACTTAGTGGGGTACTTGATAAGTATCGTTACTAAAAATGTATTTCTTATTAAAAAAAAAATTGACTTCCGTTTGATGACAAAACGAGAAAGTAGATTGTAAATTCGTAAAAGAAATTGCGGCACGCTAAATCAGAAATCAGAAATCACAATTTATAAAATAAACGGTAACATCCATTTAGGAGTTACACTTTAGTGCCGTACAAGCTACGTACTGAGGATCGTTTTGAATGAGTGAATGAATGAAAATGAGGGAGCATCTTTCCACTGAACGCTTCTCTAGACGTAATTATAAAAAACCTCATAGTCATGCTCAACATATTCATGTGAATAAAATATTAAAATCAAGTCAAATCATCAATCCACTTTACGTCTCACTACTACAGAGCAGTCAAATCGACCCCTCTTACATAAATATCGTATGTCAAAATTGCCAAGTTTACAGAGGAGCGTTTTAAATATTGGGATTCACAGAAATGAGCATAACACGTGACTTTAGCATTTCTCAGTTTTATTCGACAAAGCTAGTTACTCACATAGAGTATTATAAAATCCTAGATTTACTCTATGTGAGTAACGAGCTTTACCGAATAAAACTGAGAAGTCAAATAAAGTCACGTGTTATGCTCATTTCAGTGAATTCAAAACTTTAAAACGCTCCCCTGTAAACTTGGCAATTTCGAATACGATTTCGATACGTAGGAGGGGTCGAGATAGGGGTATCCAATCTATTGATACACGGGACTAAGAAATTTTAGCTATCGTCACGCTGGACCAATTTGAGTTGGGACATCTTCCCAGGGTGGTTTTGTCTCACTATGATGTTTTCGTTCCATCATTAACACTCACAAATATACGTAACTTTGATATTAAATGGAGTAAGGATCTCAATCGCTAAACAACTATTGAACCACCGGGCTACAGAGCTTTAATACGTTGAAAACACCATTGAATTAGCAATGTAATAATGTGCAAATCTTTTGCAACAATTTTTACTTCCGGTGTTGGTTTATTCTGCATACCTACAGGGTGTCCCACTTCTATGCGGCATGAAGGGAAAGTACTTTGATTGTTGTAGATAGGATAATTAATTTATTATCTCCATCGTAATCAACTCATACGTCCCAATACTGGGCGCGGGTCTCACCTCAGGCGAGGGTTTAGGCCAAGTCCACCATGCTGGCCCAATGCGGGTTGGTGACTTCACACGTTTTCAGAGGGTTGTGAACCTTCTTCGACATGCAGTAGGGCTAGCCCGTCAGGGCAGAACTATCGCAAGAGCGACACAAAGCGCGAGATATTGCTATTCTCGCATAGAGATCTCGCGCTTTGTGTCGCTCTCGCGCAAGTCGCGCCTTGTCGTGCTAGCCATACTGGTTTCATCACGATATTTCCCTTCTCTGAAAAGCACATATTACGTGAAACTCAGGGGTGCGAGCCCGGATTCGAACCTACGGCCTGTGCTTGAGGCGGTAGGTCAATATATTAGGTTGCCACAGCTTTTTTAATTTAAAATACTACTTATAAGGAAATAATTCTTACAATTGTACCTTTTCGACCGGCATCATAAAAATACAGATTTTCTTCACATTTTGATCGGTTTGTTTCCCAGATGAGGCAAGCAACTTTTTAATGTCATTGAAAGCAGTAATACTTAAGAAAAAATAAGTCAAATATCTTATCTTCGGCATTAAAAGTACCCTCCGTGTCGCATAGCCATGTGTCACCCTGTACATGTATAGAAAGGACCGAAAAGACGATGTAAAGAGGGGTGTAAAAAAAATATTCAGACCGATCGTCAAACGTTCAGAGTAATATTCAAATACTCGGCATTTCCAAAGCCACTCACTATATTTCAATTTGTGACGTTCATTACTGGGTAGGGGGCAGAAGAAACAGCTGGTCAAAAGAAATGCAGTAACCGCCTAAGCGATAGACATGCGCGAAACACCAAACCACCTCAATAATTATAATGCGGTGAGTCCGTATCGTCAGATCATTCACAGAAATGCACTGGGGTTAGCACGCGGGTCCTTTTGGTTACGGTATCTTACTGTCAACCATACACCCAGAAACTGCAAAATAATCCACCACTTGTTAGTCACAAATAGAAAACCAGATTTTCGTACTGCAGTACAGGGACCAGGTGTTTAGAGCAGTTTAAGGTTAGGTTAGAAACCCCATTTTTGGTCAACCCTTGTAATTATTTGAAGGAAATAACAAAATTTTTATTATATTCAATCAAAATAATATTTTACATTTTAATCAATTTAATATGAGCAACCTGTACACGTTCAATGGTTAACCAAACATATGGGTTGTAGAACTAACCAGTTAACCTTAAAACTCAGTTACAAGGGTCTCTGAAGCTGGAAAATTAGTTCATTGAGGTACCAACTCACACACAAACATAAAAGTAATCGAATGAACTGAAAACTAACCATTAATGATATTGCAATAAAGTTGCAATATTATGCCTTTAACTTTAATACTACAATACAATATGTTTAATAATGAAGTCCATAGTGCAGCCTCAATTAAATAAATGACTGAGCCTTAATGAATTCAAAGGATAAACAAATTGAAAAATCAAAAATTATTATTATGTGAATTCCCCATTTGTAATTCCAGAGCCTGCAAAATTGAACACATAATAAATATCAGTAAGGTAAGTATTTTCTTTGTACCAGTAACAAGTTTTAATACCGAAAAAACAAATACATTGTAAATTCTATTTTAAGTGCATGCATTTTGTGTTCAATTTATAAACGGCTGTAACGGTCTCTTACGGTTACCGTTTTCATCATTTATGTGCAAAATTCGTGCTACTAATTATTGTATTGTAAAATATAAAAGTGCATTACAAAACTGTTATCAATTTAATTTTCAGTTTCATTCTTAACCTTATTCTAAATTTTAGCGAACTTTGCAAATTTAAGAAAAACTCCTATGACTTAGTGTTAGTTTGTTTCCCTTATTTTTATTTCACTGTGTCATTCACTATGTCTGTGTGTTAATTTAAAAAAAATCAAGTTTTAAAAAATGTTGTCCTTATTTGATTTCACTGTGTATGTGACAGTTTAAAAAAATCAAAGTTAAATCTTTTAAGAAAATATATTTATTTCCCTTATTTGTTTTCACGGTATCTGTAAGTGCATGTAAACACACGTCTTGAAGTACAAAACTAACAAAATTAAATTTACACAACTAAAAATGAACATTTTTACCTGCGTTACTTAACTCGGTCACATATCACTTTGTAAATATAATTGTGATAAAGGTGACACACTTCACAGAATGAATACATAATATTCGGAATGATTTAAAACCCCAAATTTATGGGTATAAAATACCAATGAAATATAAAGTAAAAACTATAATAATCCCTAACTGGAATAGCAGACATAATATGTATGGTTTACCTTTTACAAACAAAAAGAAAATTTATTTTCTATCAAAATCATTGCAACGATTCTACTCATACCATAAGTGATTAAAAAATGTATGCATTATGTAATGAAAAGGTCGAAATAATTGAAATAAATACCTCGGTAAAGCTGAAGAAAAGTCCAATACCGCCGCATAGTTTGAACGCGTAGTCAATGGTCTCCTTCAATTTTTGCATGCATGGTTGACACCAACAATCCTCTGTTATTTTGCCGTCGTGGCAGCAAATTTTCTGAAAGGTAGAATATTATTTTAAAAATAAAAAAAGACATCTGCTGAAATCCCAAGCCACCCACACCAAAATAGGCACCTAGACGTCGAGTTGCGGAGATCAGCCCGTCACACCATACCAAACCAAGATCTCATCTAATCACTATTAATTATTTTTTATTTACAATATTAGTCAGTATGTTTATTATTTTAAAAAAACTTTTTTTTTGTTGAACGTTTTTGTTTCTGGCAACTCCGCCCTACACTTGTTTTGCATACAACTACACCTGGAACCTATTTTCGTTTTGTTTAGATGTGTATGAATTTACTATTGACAATAATAATTGTGGCTTACGTCCATTGCATAATGTAAAACTACATTACATACATCTACACACATATCATTAACTCTCTATTATATATTAAAAAACCGCAAATTCCTACCAGCATAAAGGTAAACTGTTTTGTTAGAACAAATTTCTTATCTGTGAAAACGTTATTATTGCTTCATAATAACATCGAATTCGATGTTAGTATTACATTCAAATTTCGAACATCTCTAAAAAACAACACAATTTAATTGGACCTCAATTGTAATATCAGTCGAGACGAAGTTTTTTCGAAATGAAATGTCAATAGCAAACAATTTTGACAATTTCACACGTTACTTGATATCGAACGATATGATAGTTGGAGTGGTTTCTAGTTTGTCTATGGATTAAAAATAAAAACTACGGTTGTGTAACTTGCGTGAGAAAAGTTTTATTTGCCGCCATTTCGGCAGTCGTAACATGAGGTTCCTGAACACGTCACAGAGAGCTTATAATATACTCGTACATATGTGTAGATAAAGCAGTGTATGTAACTATACATGATTAGGCATTAAAACACTCGTGCTCGTGTTTTAATGCCTTTCATTATGTAACAGTCACTTACATAATGAAAAACTACTATTATTTTATTAGTATAACATAGTGAGTCAAATTGCATTATCTGAATGTGAAATCTGGTATACTTTACTCTTGCATAAAACATTATATGTAATTGCACTCAAACATAATTTTACAACACACACATATTCAGCGAAACAAAACGAAACTGGGAATATAAAATAGTAACGTTTATATTTAAATAAATAAGACTATAACAGCTTGGAACATCGACGTAGCAGGGCCTTACGCAACCTTTATAGAAATCTCTCTGAATTGAATCTTAATTAAAAAAGGCATTTTTTTATTTAACAGCTGAAAATTTAAGAATTGACAGTTTACTGAATAAAAAAACTTTGCCAACTAAATTTTTAGGAAATTCACAAGACTACAAAATTAACCTTTAACCACTTGACACAACTGTATTCACCCGTATAATCAAATTGACTTTGCCAGTCGACTATTTTTTTTATTTTCAATTAGACCTAAAATAAGAAAGTAAAATAAGGCAAATCTTTGAAAAAATATTGCGTTTTTTTAGGATTTTACCAGTGGCCCGCCAAATGTGCCGGCCGATGTGTGTATGTTACTACTTACATCGACATCATTGCAAGTAGGATATTCTCCGGTGCTATTGGCCAATCTCTTGTCAAACGAACAGCATTGAAAGCGCTCCTGTATTTGCCCCCGCACATCCATGTTCACCTTTTTCCATCCCTGATACAAAAACAACTAGTTTTGCAGAAGTAATAAATAAAAAACTTCTCTACATAAAAGTAAATGTTAAGACTTAAGTCTAAAATCATGTGTAGCGTTTTCGTTACTAGATTCCAACAGAAAAACATTCTGAAATCGATACCTCCAATGAACAATACGCCAACTGAACTTTCGGACCTGTTCTGTTTTTATTTTGTTTTTGTTTCTTTATATTTTCTTGTAGTAAGTAATGTCTGTGACGAATTTTGTTCAATACAAATTTCAAGTCACTAGTCATTTGAACCCAATATTAAAATGACCGGTAATTAATTATTTATGAAACTGTGGCATCCCTAATGATTTTTTATTTGAAGGAAGAGATTGCAAATATTTTAAGTTTGAGTAATAATTATTAATAGGAAATGAAACTATTTTTCCGGATTTAAATCGCGTATATTTGTTTTTTTTCAAACAAACCGACGTCTCGGGACCTTTACAGGTCCCATGGTCCCGGTTGACTGATATACGCGATTTAAATCCGGAAAAATAGTTTCATTTCCTATATGTAACAATCGCGAAAACCTAAGAACTCGATAGTAATTATAAATTTAAATATATTATTGACTCCGGATGAGATATTTAGTAAATGAATATAAAACTACGTCTTACAATTTTGTTTCTTTTCATCTACAATTACCTACTATCTAGCAATAAATATTAATAGGATTCAAAATTTAATTATTTTATTCATAAATCAAGCGTATTAATAGGTACTTTGTAAACATTATAATAATTGGCTAGAGTATAGTTTCTTAGTACGACAGAACCGTCAAAAAAACAGAAAATAGCTATTACCTGTCGAGCCAACATCTCTTGTTGGTCAGAGTTGACAGCCAGGCATGCACAGGCCACGGAGAATTGTACCAGAAAAAGCAGGAAGAGAATTACCATATACTGTTGTTGGGAGTTAAGGACACATAGAAATTTGTTCACAGTAAACCGTTTCTAACAGTGTTGCCAGTAGAAAAGTTTAAGTTTAATCTAGCAATACCGCCTAAAAAACTTACTTAAGTTAACTTTGTCTTAAACCATAGATTCCCGAACTTTTTTGGTTCACCGCCCACTTAGGCGAGATGAAATTCAACGCCCACCACCACAAAAAATAATTGAAAACATGTAGTTTTTATATTAACTTAAGAAATCACAAGGAAATAAAATATATTATATATATATATATATAATATAAAACAAATTCAGTAGCACTCCGTGGACAGCATCCACTCCCCCAATTGCTTTCGAGACCACTTTGGAAAGCTATGTCTTAAACAATATTTCGTTTTTTTTTATTTTTGTAGTAATAGTATATCTTTTTCTTCAGTCAATAAATTACAGTAAAGAAAATATGTAATTTATAAAAAGTTTCCGTTTCATGTTTAGAAGCTTTCTCTAAGTATTATATAGTATATAGGGGTCTTTGGAATAAATTAAGTATGTAAAATTAAGAAAAGTTTGTTTCCAAGGTACTTATTAATTGTTTTGCTTACATAATGACAGAATGAAATGGCGCCTGGTTAAAAGATCTAAATTTCCTTTTATCTAATACTAAAAAACGAAATATAACAAGGAAAAAAATCTGGTGGTAATAACAACAAATATGATCAAACACGTATGATAACAGGTATTGTCCTATCTGTGATATATAAATATTCTAGTGTGATAACTGTAGGTTGTGAAGGTAGGTAATCTATGTGTTTGTTTCTGTTTAAAATGGATCAATCTGCATTATTTGATTATTTGTCCCCGCTGCTAGTTGTGTAAGTACTTGTCTCAACTTGAAAGTATGCGCAAACAATTAATGTCTGAATTACAACACTATAATAATATAGTTGTACTGACGCTATATTTAAATTTTAATAGCTGCAATTGACTGTTATACATAATTATGTCATTTCAGGTACCTAATCTTAAACTAGTTTTTATAATTTATAAGCAACAATCTCTTTCGTTGTGTATATTGGTCGGATATTCCGATTCTTTTATATGAAAGCAGTTTCTAAAAATTTATTTTTTACTTCTTTTAAATCCCGGAATGACGTGACCTGTTAAAATACACACATCAAAAGTGTCTAGGGATCAAGTGAATATTTTTGAAATAAAAATTATTTAAGCAATATTTACCAAATCCAGTCTTCCAGGACGACTTCTTACTTTAATGCTTATGTTTTATTTAACCGCTTACCCCTATATTTAATTAAAATAAACTAAAATTGATGTTTTTGCAAATTGAGGGAAAAAACTCAAATTAACGGCGTCAATTAAATGACAAAAAAATGGCGAAAATGATGATTTTGCTCATTTTTATTGTAAAGATAAGAAAATTAATAATCTGTATTTCCACCATTAACACGAATCACACAATTACAGCGATTTGGCATGCTTAAGATGAGTTCATCAAAATCACTTTGAGGAATGGCCGCCCATGTGTTTTGTAACAAGTCAAAATATTGTTGTAGAGTATGTACGGTATGCATACTAGGCACAGCTCTTCTTTGAAGCATATCCCATGCGTGCTCTATTGGATTGAGGTCTGGCGATTGAGCAGGCCACGGCAGAACGTTGATACGAGCTTCGGCAAGAATGCGTGTTACGACTCTAGCCGTGTGTGGACGTGCGTTGTCATGCATTAGTTGAAATGAATCACCCAACTGGCCTCGCAAAGGGATGATAACATCTGAAACAATCCTCTCTGCGTAAACTTGAGCATTGAGGTTACCCCTGATCCAAATGAAATCGGTTCTTCCGCCGATCCAAATACCGGCCCATATCATTATTGTTCCCCCACCATATGGATGAACTTCCTGACAATATCTCAAACGTTCATGACGTCCAGATGTTCTCCAAACTCGAGTACGTCTTGTATCCGGTCTCATACCGAAGCGGTATTCATCCGAAAAGCACACATAGCGCCAGTCTTCTTCCTCCCAGTTTCTGTGTTTGCGAGCCCATCGTAAACGGGTCCTACGATTGCAGGGTGCAATAGGTGGAACTCTGAGCGGCCTTCGGGATCGCAGACCCACTTCACGTAAACGATTTCGGATTGTTTGATCGCTTATTAGCAAGCCTGAGGAGCTGTGGAGCCTCGTAACCAACATCATGGCGGTCATGGTACGATTCCGTCGAGCAGTATTTTGGATATACCGGTCCTGTCTGCGAGTCGTGATGCGAGATCGTCCTCTATGTCGCTCGGCCACGCTGCCCGTCATGCGATAGCGCGTCCAGAGGCGACTTATGACGCTCTGTGTAGTGTTAAGAGTGAAAGCCACAGCACGTTGCCTGGAACCAGCTTCCAACATTCCGACGGCTCGCATCATCACTTCTCGGGTTAAATGATGTCGTCTCTCCATAATAATGTAAATTGTTTCGGTTCCGATGCAGATATTGTAATGATTTTGTCAAAACGCTATAACTCATTTTTATACAAAACCACGTTGACAATCGATTTTCTTCTTATTATCGAATTTTAAACAATATTCCTAATTTAAATGTTAAAACTCACTAAAAAGTATCAATAGCGATACAAAAAAGTTAATATAATTAACCCTAATTGCAGCAATACTCTTAAACGTACTTGATCCCTAGACACTTTTGATGTGTGTATATAAAATTTTGGCTCTTTATAAATCTTGATGACGACAAGGAATGTGGTAACTTGATCTCTGTATTGTGAACAGCTACAAGCATCAACGTTAATTATGGTGCAATGGTTTCGGTAAAAATTATTAAAGCTACAATTTTTATATGATGTGCAAAGTTTTTAAATTTTTCACTTTCTATATATGATAAAGGTCAATTTAAATGTTACATAAAATTACAAATAACATTTCAAAGATTCATTTCCTTAAATTTTAGACTTATCTATTTTGTCAATCCCGATGTTGGGGGATTTTTTTTCGACAAAAGCTCATTCCGCGTCAACAAGCAACCCAATTCAAGGTAAATAATTAAAAATAATCCAATTGTCCAACCGTTTTAGTTATGAGTATGGAGGAGATTTAAATTTAGTTTATAATTATATATCTTATCACTTCACGTATGACGTGAACCCTTAGTTCCCAAAGTGGTCCAGGTGGACCCCAGGGGTCCACGGGAGATACGACGGGGATCTACGTTGGCGTGACAAAAAATAATATAGATATGGAATATGGTAGAAATGTAGCTGCAGGTTGTCCACCGGAACCAGCTAAATTTTGAAAGTGGTCTATGAGAAAAAAGTCTGGGTACCTCTGACATGAACTAAGGGCATAAAATTAGTTGTGTAAAAAAATCAAATTATTTTAATTGCTATCGGCTATCATACTTGCAAAACACAGATTTCTCAAACAGGAAGTGACTAAACTTACACAATGGCTATTATTATATATTAAATCATATTAACAATGTTCTAGTTTACAAAATTACGATTATTCAACTAAACAAAAAGTTTTTATAGTTGCAGCAGATCGCACATGCAGTTGGCTGTATGGGCCTCAAGATCTAGTATTCTGTGTATGAACTAACAAGCTAAGCGAGACCTGGCGTCAACCACCCAATGAGATTGGTCATCTACTATGGGAACAACTTTATGACAAATAAGCCTTCAAGTCCCAGAGAAGGACAAATGGAGCAACAGAATCACTGGCAACAAGAGCAGCATTCTTCTATTGAAGAACAGAACATTTGTCAGCACCTACTGTCGACCCATCTTTAACCCTAGAAAGATAACCTACGTCGAAACGACGTATTTGATTTCGAAAAAAATGATATAATTCCTTCGTATTAAACACCAGTGCACCCGCCGTTCCTGCCAACTCAGTTGACGAGACGTATCTTTTGCGTTAGTTTTTGACTTTGGTGTTATCGTGTAGTCAATAGGATTTCGTGATTTTTATGCGCATAAAAATTATATATTTTTAATTACAAATTGTTATTTTTTTACACGCTATATTATTACAACAAAATGGCGTGATTAGGTTGTGTAAAAGGTGCAGAAATATCCTGGTTACTACAAGAATTTAGTGACGAAGAGATCGAATGGTTGGACAGTGAAAGAGATGATAATATTTTACAAGACGACGTACAAAGTAACATCGTAGATCATGAGTTCAGTCCGCTATTTGTACGTCCCACTATTGGACACGGGTCTCTTCTAAGGCGAGGGTTTTGGGCCACCCCGGCCCAATCAGACAGCCGACCCCATCAAACAGTCCGCCACGTTGGCCCAAGGCGGGTTGGGGACTTCACACGCTCATGATAAATTTCAAACAAAATTTTGCACATAAATTCCGAAATTTTCGGAGATTCGAACCCACGGTCTCTGCTTGAGAGGCAGTAGGTCAAACCATTATAGGCTACAACGGCTGCTTTTTTTCAGTCTTAATATGTCTAATAATAATTATAAATTACCGGAGTCAAAGAAAAGGATATATTGTGCCTTTTGTTTATCAAAAATTAAAACGATGACAAGTCAATGTGCGACAAATGTAAAAATCCCATTTACGCAAAGCACAAGTCGAACACTAGTCCTAAGTGCCTTATAGAGGCCAATTTAAAAAAAAATGACATTCTCTAAATAAATTATATTACGTAAAATTGATTTTCAAATATTTATAGTTATAATTATAATCCTAAGACGAGATCTCAATATTTTTTTAGTTTTACAATGTAAGAAAAACCTATTTTTGTTATATATCGATTTTTTTAAATAAAAATACAAATAATCTTTAATTTAATCTTTTCTTTTTATATATATAGCAGAATGACTCCTAAATTGACACATGACCATAAACACAAAAATTATACACACACAAAATTATGTGTACTTAAATGTTCACATGTTGAATCAACATATGGTTATCTTTAACATACTGTAAAATTTGGTTTTCTAGGACTAATAATATTAATCATAATCTACAATAAATTATTTAGTAAATTTAACCAACACAGAAAAAACACAGAAGTACCTCTGTCAAAACAAAACAAAACAAGACCTAAGACCATCCAAAAAAATAGCTAAGTAATTAATAATATATTTATTGTATACATAAAAAACAGAAACATGTTACATGGCATGGATTACAATTATACAGGTTTTGTACAACAGTGCCTAAGGTGGTGGTGATACTTCCACCCCTAAAATATGTTATAACCTGTGACTCAAGGGTTAGAGTTCTTTGATGCACAACATCAAACTATTATTTTGTAATAAAAATAAATTAAGAGAAACCAAAGCAAACTTGTTGAAAGAAATATGGAATAAAACGGGAACAACATGCAGAGCAAAAGTAAAAAACAGAATGAATTTAAAAATAAAAATTAAAAATTAAAAGAAAATAAGATGCGATAAAAACATTAAAACACATAAAATGCGATGCAATTGTAAAATTAATAAAGCTTTTTCAAAGAGAGATCTAAAATTTTGCAACCACTATTTATTGTACCTACAATTTGACATTATATTCTGTCATGTACAAATGGAGACTAATTTTTTTTATTTATTTTTTTATTTATATTGTTATAAAGACATTGCTCATTATGCTTCAATTCATGTCACTACATATTTAACAATAGTTTGCATTTACTAATACTATAAGGAATACACATTCCTTATATTAACCATACACATGGTTAACATAATTGTTTAGTGTTAAAAACATCCAGTTAATTTATAAGGTTAAAAAGGATACAAAGAACAGCATAACTTGATGATGCTTTACAGCTCCAGCCAATCCAAGAAGAGACACCAGAATAAGAAACACTCCACATGCTAGAATACCCCCTACGATTGGTAGATTTCCAACTAAAGAGGACGCTTGCCCATACACTGCCACTGAAATCAGGATGGATGCTACCACCTGCCGGAAACAAAACATTTGTCTATTAATTATATGTATAATATCGAATCAAAATGTAGTTAATGCATCAAGCATGCAAATACCTCAGTGTAGTGCTACCTAATGCTAGACAGTGATATGATAGATAGGTACTATCACAGTTGTGGCACACTATCACATGGGGAAGTCATTATTTAGGTTGTTCTGTCAACCAGGGCAAAAAGTTATTTCCCAATTAAGGACAGTCAGAACAAAAATCGATAAGTCCATTTTGACTCTTTATTCTCTCTTAATGCCAAATGGCAGTTTTTGAATGTTTCTGTGAGCAATTTATCCAACCTGCAGGTCGATTCAGAACCTTACGATAACTCTGTTGTCGACCGATTCGATTTGATATTGTACAATTTCATTTCATTTTTATTCACAATAACCGAATCGAACGTCAAACTGTCGTATTCGAAACCGAATCGAAATGACGTCACACCCGTACGATTACTCGAACTTCTCGACCGGCAAAGGCTACAAACGTTATTCAGAACACAGTTATCGAATGAAAGTTACCAAACGTCCTATTGTTTACAAAGCAAGAATGTATTATGGAAATCTTTTATTATTTTAAATAAAATCTGGATTTTGTTCAATTTTATTAATTTATTATAGTGCAAGACTAATGCATTCCTATATTTTAGGCCTTTAAAGCCTTAAAAATGTATATAAAAGGATTTTCATTTTTCTTATAATCTATTTCACCAACTAACTCCGTAAACGCTGTTGCATAAAGATATTGTATCCGAATCCGAATCGAACGTTTAACTCTGAATGTTCTGAATAGCTTGGAAAGCGTCCTTTGATTCGAGAATGATATCCAATCGAACGATTCGGTTAAAATATCAAAGAGTTTTGAATTGGGGGCCTGAACAGCAACTGCTAAATACTGCTTCTAAATATGTTTCATAATGCGACTAATCCATTCAATAAGACTAAACGATAATTAGAATTGAAATTTATTAGTATCAGTACTTTTCTGGCCACAACGCACAATAGTGACTGATGATAAGACTAGTGGGAGAATGCTTGCTTCTCAATTAGAGGGCGATGGTTTGAAGCCTTTAATTTCTACGTTATGTACAGTCCCATATCTTTGTGCATAAGTTTTGTTTATAGTGCCCCTCCCTATCAATTTCTTAGTAATGAGCTCAGGGCACTATGAACATTTTTGTATGAAAATCACCTCCAGTGCAACAGAACAAGACACATCAATGTGTAGCTAGATGTGCTGGCCTGTACATTGCACATTATTGAGTGTTTAGTAGTGAAGTCATGATTGTGGTAAGTAAAATAGTATAATTTTGCCGACAGGAGTTTCAGCAAGTTTCAACATTGGCATGTCACAGAGCAGTGTAGAAAAAGCCTAATCAACTATATAACTGCATTATCTCAGTTCCAAATTTTGTGATTTTGACAGCAAAATTGGGTACGGCAAAGGAATTGTAAAGTTAGCCCATTGTGTAGACTCAGCATTAATTGTGTGAAATATTACCATGTCAAACAAGATTGTGAAAAAATGTTATGTTACTTGGAATACACAAACATCGGCCTTATGTTGCTTTGTAAATTTAAGATAAGTGTTGGATTGTAGTAAATTGTGTAAAGTTGTGTGTATTTATCTTTTTGCTTTCTTTGTTTAGTTTTAAAGTATTGTTTGGTATCTTATAAGTTACATTTAAATTTCACATTATCTTTAAGTCTTGTTTGATGCTTTGGCTTAAGCTGTAAGTCCAAAAGAATGTTTTCTTTATAAATAACTTTATGTCCCCTTCCTACGGTGACCCAGGTGTATATGCCAGCATGATATAAATGGTAATTTGGTCTAGCTTTATTTTCATTGTTCAATACAATGCAATCACGTTCTATTTCATCAATTTCTAAGCTACAGTATCGCTCTCGATAAAGATTTATGAGCCGATTGATATGAATTACGAACTGATTACTTGTACTACATTGTCATACATTACATCGAAAACTTATAAAACTTGTCAATTTAGAGCACAATACGATAGAAAGGTCAAGAGTTATTATAACCTTTGTTCGGAATCATTTGTTAAGTTCACGATTTTAAGTCCAATACTTAACTTACCACATAAAGAATATTCAACGCAATTAGAGCATTCTTAGAACAAGTAAAACCTCCACACATCTTGCTGGAATCTTGTCGGTCCGGAAAGATTATGGTTTCACCAAGATTTGAGATTACGGTCCACGAAATTCAATAAAAGAATAGCGTTCGAAACACTTCACACTCGTATTCGTCGTAAGAAAATGGGTCGTATTATTAAATAAATAAATTTTCAACAAGTCTTCGAACACAAAGAACAAAATTACAATTCCATTTCACGTTACTTCTATTCTCTGACTGCACTAATGCACTTCACTCACTGACTGACTAAATATCTTTCTAATTTGTGGACTGAATTCAATGACTATCTATCAGTTCAGTTAGTCACACAGACCACATAAATACTATGGTCAGTTTTTTTTTATTAATTTATTGCTGGCCATGGAAACAAAGACCTTCAGCCGAAAACATAAATATAAGTTTTTCTGTAAATATGGCCGCCACAAAGAGGATAGGCAATTTGAGGCGGCGTGCTTGGATTGACTCGGGATTCCTTAGAACGGGCCGATACGGGTATTTTAGTTCGAGATTGGTATAATTTCGCGTTTTAATCTTCGATTAAGGCACAATAGCACTATCCTATTCCACTTTAAAGTATATTTCACAAAATAATTGAAAGTCAAAATAAAAACGACACTTTTCCCTCCAAAAGGTCCAGAGCGAATCTACTATGGTAATTTTTTTTTTTAATTTATTAAGGCTTTGACAAAGCCATCAGCCTAAACATGAAGTTTAAATATGTTTCTGTAAATATGGCCGCCACAAAGAAGATACACAATTTGAGGCGGCGTGCTTGGATTGACTCGGGATTCCTTAAAACGGGCCGATACGGGTATTTTAGTTCGAGATTCGTATAATTTCGCGTCTTAATCTTCGATTAAGGCACAATAGCACTATCCTATTCCACTTTAAAGTAGATTTCACAATATAATTGAAAGTCAAAATAAAAGCGATACTTTTCCCTCCAAAAGGTCCAGAGCGAAT